CTGCTTAAAGCTGATCGCTCATTCGATTGTATGCCGATATCCTGCCTAACATTTGCTGACTCAACCTCCTCCTGCAATTGTATGCAAATTGTGGATGAGACTGTCCAGCTGCTCCCTGCTCTTATGTTCTATGTAAATAAGCCGAGTGCCAAATGCAAAACAGGGCACGAAACGTAGACCTGGTCAGGTCATTAGACGTACTTTAGATTGGAGTTCGGGTCGAGAGTCACATTTGGCCAAATGTTAATGAATCAAAGGGCCAGCCCGGGCTAATGTTCGAAAAGTTTTGCGGCAAAACTACAAAGCTGCAAGGAGTAGGAAGCAGGAAGCAGCTGTCCAGAGTGGAAGATGAGGAGCAGCAGGAGGAGCCCCAATAGTTGGGCGTTGAATTGTTTTTGAGTGTGTTTGAGTGTGTGTGTGTGTGCCATGATGTGGGCGTGTTGATAACGAGCGAACGCGCCAGAGTCATGCATAATTAATCATTTGTTAATTATAGACTTTGACCGAAGTACACCGGTACTCGGACTTACCTGTCGTCATTCCACGCACAAACACAGTGACTACTGTATGTATGCTCTCACATTTGACACCTGGCAAAGTAATTGCCTTTGTCCACTTTGAAGTTGTTTAGTTTTTGCTCCAGGCTCATTACAACATGGGCGTGCCCCAGGCCCAGAACCAGAACCAGAACCAGAACCAACCTCCATTCATATAAATGAACTCGTCGCAGTCGACGCAGGTCCCTGGCATCATCATCATCATCCTCGTCGTCGTCGTCGTGTGTGCAAGCTCTCCCTCTGCCTCGCTCCTTGTCTCTGGCTATGTTGGCTGCCAGGACATGGCCAGGCAGCTGCTGCTGCTGCTGCTGCTGCTGCTGTGTGCTGTCTGGCTGTAGCATGTTTGCTGCGGAACAGGAAATGAGCACCTGCTGCTTATTTATATTTTCCGCTCACTTGAATGTAAAATTACATAATATTCTTTTTCGTTTTTTGCTGCTGCTCGCTCTGCCACTTGTACTAGCCTTACAAAATATTTGTGTGAAAATTCCTCTAGTGGAACATTTGAAGACAGCTGGCCCATGCTTTAATATTTGCCACCTAAAGCTGCAAGCAAAAATGTGCATAAATTAGAGCTATCATTTCCAAGCTTCCACCAATTAGGAAAATATTTAAAAACCCGCACAGACCCTGAGGTAAAGTGCGCCAAAATTGAAATTGTTTTCGCCGCATGGAGAGTGGAGTGTCCATATCTGGTATCTATCTGGTTGCATCGTTCGAAGTATTAGTTAACTATTTGTTCAAAATGTTTGCATACCACAGACATGAAAAGGTTTTTGTAACTGCGGTACACAAAAAGTTCACTGGCGGCTCTCTCTCTCTCTGTGTTGGTTGGTTGCAATGTGGCAACCGCAATGTACGTGGAGATGGGACAGGCCAAAATCCTCATATGTGAGATGTTTATGTTGCTGTTGGGTTGCGTTTTTGTTTGTGTGTGCTCGCCAAATGTTTGGTTGTTGCTGCTGCCACGCTGCCACGCTGCCGCATAAATTGTTGCCGCTTTTGAGTTTAAGCCAACAGTTTGTTTGTTGGTTAGCCAACACTTTTCTATCGCAGCGAGTGCGCCATGTGCCAGCTAGTTAATTGCTGTTGCTGTTTAGAGTTGTTGTTGCTGCTGCTGCTGCTGCTGCTGCTGCTGCATGATTGCACTTATTGGTCGGCAGCATAATCAAATGTGCAACTTTTTGTAGCAAGTTACAACCGCATGAAAGTTTAATTAGAAATCTCACATGCTTTGCAGCATGCCACACGCAGTTCATGCAGGGACAGGGACAGGGACAGGGACAGGGACAGAGAGTTGCAACTTAAGTCAAAACTAATTTGAACTCATAATTAAGGCACTTTTGATGCATTTTTTTTGCTGGTCCGCTGCTGGCCCCTAATCAGGGCTTTCTTTTGCCCCCTGCCGCACTGCCTCATTAAAATAACAGCGAGGTGCAGCGGCAGCGGCAGTGGCAGCGGCAGCGGCAACAACTAAACACAAACAAACAACTCTCACCTTACAGCTGTAAGAGAATTGTTCAGGTAATCCTTGGACCTGCTGCAGCTAGCTGTTGCTAAAGGCGCAAACTTAATTTTGCCTGCGAGTATAATTGCAGCCCAGCAGCACTGACGAGTTGTTGGCAGAACTTTTGTTGGCTTAATTGAGGGCATCATTATTTGGGTACAGAGCAGCAACAGAGCAGAGAGGGAGGGAGGCCGCGCCCGAGGCATATCTTTTTTCAACTTATATCCTAATTATGAGTCAAATTAAAGCTGGCCTTCTGCCTTCTGCCTTGTGTTTAACGTTTCATTTAATATTTAGCCAACATTTACTCGCTCCCATAAATCAATGCCAAACAACATGCCTCGGGGGCTCGGCCCCCATATGAATACTCAAGTGTCTCGGGCTGCTCGGCTCCTCTGAGCAACAAATGGGACAAATTTCCATTTCAAGCCAATGCCGCATAAATGGCACATAATTTACGATATGAAGCAGCAGCAGCAGCAGCAGCAGCAGCAGCAGCTAACCAAACATGCAGCCAACTATCCAAAAAGCTGGTAACAATATTAGTTAGCATGAGCGGCAGACAGAATCAGAGAGTAAAGTTTACATTTGTGTTGGTTCTGCCGCTGGGTTGTTGGGTGTTGCTTTGGGAATACACTCGCACACTCGCACACTCGCACACCCGCACCCGATGCTGGCCGGCGTCAATGTGTGAAGTAATTAATTACAAAGCAACTGATGTGTATCTGTGTGCCACTGCCACTGCCACTGCCACTGCCTGTACGGTGCTCCTCCTGTGCTTTTGGGTTTTGGATTATGATGCATGATCATGTTTGGTGCCTGCACGCACATCCAGAACCGAAAACCCTTGAACACAGACACGCACACCCACACACATCCACACACAGGAAATAGATAGCTAACGTTACATGTTGGCCTCCCCCTCAAACGTGCTCACTAACCAAAAAGTGAATTGATTTACACCTGCGGCAAGAGCAAACCAAGGCCCGGGCCACCCCAAAATGCATTTCAGTAATTGCACAAAGCAACGTCCCAATGGTACACTTTCTGACACCTTTTTTGGCTGCAAAAAGGAGAGCTTTTGGAAGCCTAAAGTAGAGCCTGAAATTCCTTCCACATAAATATTCAAATATGCTAATTATTGCCATATTAAAACCAAATCCGTAGCGTTGCTGTGGTCGAGGGTAAACCTCATTAGCACGACAACTCTAGGCGTTGTCTGCCAAGGGGCTAATTGTCTTTGCCGTAACGCCTGAGCTGGTCTGGTCCTGGTCCTCGTCCTGGTCCTGTGCCTGCGCCTGTCTATGAGCAATTCGATTTAAAATTGCGGCGGCTCCGCCGTGGGCTTTGGGGCATATTTATGAAGGGCAAACACGTGATGTGCCCAAGCAGCAACAAAAATACAAACGTCACAGGGGGAGGGAGCTGTGGGGGCTGTGGGGGGTATGCATTTAAATTAATCACAGTAAAAGCGAATTGCCCAAAACAATGTAATATCCCGTGGAAGGTCCTTTGGGGCAAGCAGAAATCTGTAAATGCGAGTGAGAGAGTGAGAGAGGAAAATGTGTGTTGTGTGACGAGAGACCAAAACCAAAGCCTGTCACTGTGTGCATGTGTGTGTGTGGGTGCGGGTGTGTGTGTGTGTGTGCGTGCGGTTGCTCAAATTAAAACAAAGTGTCGTGCGTTTGATGAAAATGTAACGCATTTTGTGCGCTCTCTCTGTCGCTCAGCGCCAGCCAGCGTCCTCGCACATAAATGCTAATTGGCTTAAATGTATTTGTGTGTGTGTGCTGGAATGTTGCTGCTGCTGTGTGTGTGTGTGTGTGTGGGGGGGTGCTCTGCTGTCAGGTGTTCAAACTTAAACATTTTATAGTTTCGGTTAATTGTCAAAGCAAAAACCCAAAGGCAAAAGTAAAAGGGTGCGCCAGACATTTGATGACTCAATTATTGGATGGTTTTTGTGGCCGACTTGGTGGTTACAGCAGCAGCCATGGGTAACTCGGCACTCAGGTTGTAGCATTGAAGGCATTTGGGCAGCTGTCACACTGATTAGCAGCAGAAAGGAATGTGGGGGCAACGGAAAGCTAAAGGAAATTGAAAACAACTGAAGTAAAGTGATTGGCCATAACATTTGCGCGAACGCGTGCATTTTCCATTCTTACGAATTTTCTATTTCCTTTTTGCTCCATGCCGCGCGCGTCCCACGCAGCAGCCAGACTGGCTGGCTCGTCTGCCCTTTTGTGTGCCCACAATTCTATGCTATTTTTATGTTTATCTGCCTTCACTCCATTACGACTTTATGCTCTTTAGCAGACAATCAACATTGTTGCTGCTCCCTCCGGGGGGGGTTGGCTGGTGACTCCAACTTGCCAGGCGGACAATGCCCGTGCGAAAAATGCAAATTGCGAGTGGGAATGTACATAAATGGTTGGCGTGCTTCATGGATGGGTAAGTGGAAATGAGTCGGCTGACTGACTGACTGACTGACTGACTGAATGAATGAATAAGTGAGTGATTGCTGCTGTAAGCTCAGACATTTAGCGGCATTTTGAGCTTTGATAAATAGCAAACGTTTGGCTTCCCCTCACATGCCCTCATAATTTATGCAAATTAATTTATAAACAAAAAGATCTAGAGAGAGAGAGAGAGAGAGCAGCAGTGGACGGACACTGATGTATTTCACGCAAGTGCGACAATTTTCGCGACAAAAAGTAGTTGAGAGCCTTGCAGTAGGGAGACTCATTTATATGGCTTTGTGCGTAATTTCATTCGCTGACATTTATGATGTATGGGGGCCACAGACACAGCCACAGCCAGCCATCCATTTGCGTTTCCATAACGAATGATGACTGACTGACTGACTGACTGACTGCCCCTTGCCCCATGTGTCTGACTCTAGCACGCGTTCGTGTCACACAGTGTCTGTGTTTTTTTTTTGCTGTTCTACACTTTTTGGGCATCTAGCAGGCAGTCACATAAAATTCACAATATGTATGCATAAACTGAGGCCATTCCCGGGCATTATTCGCAGGAAATTCAACCTAAAGTTCGAGCAATTTTCAAGCAGCAGCCAAAATGTCTGACAAGCCCAAGTCCATGCCCGTGAGCAACAAGAGCGTTCGGGGTGTCACCAAGGGGAACAAGACTGGGGTTAAGCCACAGCCGGTGGTACGTGCCCCCACAACGCGCACCAATCAACATGATCGGGTGAGCATTCAGCACTAGCTGGCAGCTGGCAGCTGGCAAATATATTTGCGGATATTAATTAGGGTTTTCTCTGGCAGATTTGGAAGATTATGAAAATGTAAGCGGGATAGCTGTTGAGTCTCTTTCCTGAGGCATTTCTGCTCGCAACAGCAAGACATTTCCTCTGCAGATTCAATGCAAAACACAACAATAATTCGAACTCTAACAATAGTTGGTGCGTAGCCCTGAAGTAACTATAAATTTAACCTATAAATAATTGCCCTTTTGCAGGCACAGCTACCACACACTACCCACAAAATGTTGACTTAACTTCAAGTCTGTTTCTTTTCCATATTAAATTTAAAATAAAACCCACCGCTTTGCTTGCGCTAAGCGCTGAATAAAGCGAAAAAGTCCCAGCACAAAAAAAAGGTCTTATATTTCCCTGTTGGACCCACTGGAAAGCGGGCAAAGCGCAAGCGCTGCGCTTGAAGAGTAATTTTTTTTTTTTTTAATTTCTGGACGTTGATATGCAATGACTGCACCATCAAGTGGCCCATGCGACACCAAGCCAAAGCCTGTTACGCGCGGAACCTAGCAGAACGCAGCCCTCCTCCCGCCCAACCGACCGAGGGGCGCTGCCGCATGACGCGCGGCGCGATTAACCGAACCGGTCGCGAGCATGCAGGAAAGATAGATGTTAGGCTAATATTCGAGGAAAATTAGATCTAATCATAACTAGACTAAGCTAAGCAAGCAGAAATTACCAAAATCAGAGACAAGACAAAACTAAAATGAAACTAACTACGGGAGAGGTAGGCTAGTATAAGAGATTTAAGAAGAGGAAGGGAGTTAGTTGAGGATATAATGTGGTAGAGGGAATTATAATCCGAGCATAAAACCCTAAAGGGTTCGTGTGAGGCATAATTCGATCTACATAGTGGAAGGAACAAAGGAATAAAGTTTCTAGTGGGTCTAATGGGAATCGTAAAGTTTATGCGGCTCAGCAAGTCAGGGCTGTCTATATCCCCCTTGATCAAGTTGTGCATAAAAATTACACCAAGCATTTTTCTACGACTAACTAAGGATGGAAGATTTATTAAGAGAAGTCTACTACGGTAGGATGGCAGTCTCACAGTTGCATCCCAGTTGAGGCCCCGTAGGGCAAATAATAAAAAGTTTTTCTGTACTGATTCAATACGGTCCTGATGTATGTTGTACTGAGGGCACCATACACATGAGCCGTATTCTAAAATCGGACGAACAAGCGAGATATAGAGAGTCTTCGTTATATAGGGGTCCTCAAATTCCTTTGACCACCTCTTTATAAACCCAAGCACACCCATGGCTTTATTTACCATGGTAGAAATGTGTTCAGAAAACTTTAACTTTGGGTCTAGTTTAACACCTAGATCATCAACCAATGTAATTCTCTCAAGAGAACTACCGCAGAGGGTGTAAGGAGCCAGGAAGGGGCTGGAGCGACAAAAAGTCATAACATTGCACTTCGAGGCATTAAGTTGTAACATATTTGCACAGCACCATGACTGAAAGCTATTGAGATCAGATTGCAAACGAGAGTGAAATGAAATGTCCTTATACTGGACACAGAGCTTAACATCATCCGCATACATAAGTACTCGAGAATTTGTTAATACAGAAGGCAGGTCATTAATAAAGAGTGTGAAAAGTAAGGGGCCTAAATGGCTACCCTGTGGTACTCCAGAAGTAACCATAACAGGTAAAGATACGGAGTTTTTGAAAAGGACCCTTTGAGACCTATAACACAGGTAGCTAGAAATCCATCTCAACAGATTGGGCGGAAACCCTAGAAGGTTGAGCTTTTGTGCAAGAAGAGAATGGTTTACGGAATCGAATGCCTTACTGAAGTCAGTGTAAATAACATCCGTCTGCAAGTTACTTTGGAAGCCTTTAATTACAAAGGAGGTGAACTCTAAAAGATTAGTGGTTGTTGATCGTCGCCGTATAAATCCGTGCTGAGCTGGAGATATAAGTGATTTGCAGAGATGCTGCAAGTGCGGAGTTAAAAGTTTCTCGAACATTTTAGGAATAGCGGA